CAACTTTGTTAACTGTGTCCCACCATCAAAATTGTTGCTGGTTGACTGGCCTACCAACATGTATCATTTAATCATTCATTCATTCATTCATTCATTCGTTCGTTCGTTTGTTCGTTCGTTCGTTCGTTCGTTCGTTCGTTAATTCATTAATTTACTCATTCATCAAATTGTTTTCATGTTAATTCTGCCCCCAGAGCATTTCGTTCATTTCATATCGCCAACATCACCCTGTAGCATTAAGTTCTTTCCTTTTTATTCATGGAGAGTGAATGAACTTTTATTTAGAATGAAAAAGTGGCTAAGAGAAGAGAGATTTGCAGATGTTGAAACTACAAACAAAAATCAAAAAAAACAACCGTCAGGGGAATTTGAATGGACCCTGCCATTCCTACTGCCCCCGATCGTCGTGCCATTATCAACGTCATTGTCTTCAGCCACTTTGTCATCATCAATTTCCATCGTTGAATCTTCATATTCAGTTTCTTTGGTTACGGCACGGTTGCTATCCCCATCACCGCCATCATCATTTCCATCATTATCACCACCCCCATCTTCATTTCTTTGGTCATCATCGTTCTCTCCGTCATCATTCTCTAAAAATGATTGAATTTCTTCTAAACACTCCCCGTGCCCCATCTTCTTGGCAACATCTGATGCTGTCAGACCTTAAAAATTGAATGGCCGATGTTATAGGCGGCGTGCAGAAAACAATTTGTGAATCACAGCATTGCAAGCATCACACTTTAAACATTAAAACAACAGAAAATAACTTCATATAACCATTCAACCAACCATCAGGGTTTTTGTAACTGACATTAGCATCGTAGGTCAGTAGTAACGAAACGATATCAGAAGAGCCAACTTTGCAGGCCAGCATCAAGGGCGTCCACGAGCTGCTGTCCAACAAATTCACGTCTGCTCTTTTTCTCAAAAGCATTTCCACTGAACTTTTATTCATTTGTTCTATGGCTACATGCAAACTGGTTTTCCCAATCTGCAAACATTTAACCAAATTGTATTAGTTTAAAATTCAAATTAAAATACTTAATTAAACATATGACAGTGTATGTTTTATAATGGAATTGCCCTAAACAGAAGCAAGTTTACCTTATTTTTTCTATCGATATCCTGTATGGTTAACTTTGGTAGGACCATTGGAAGGAGGGAGACAGCATTGTGTTTGCACAAATAATGTAGGCAGGAATTGCCTTCTTTGTCCACAACTTTGAAATCTACTTTGGCTTGTTGAATCAACAGCCTTGCACAGTTTTCATTCCCACTTTCTATTGCCTAATACCAAATGTTAAAAACTATTTGAAATACATCTATTGCAACTAAAAGTTTTTTGAGAAAAAAAAAATTATAATGAAAGTGTTGTTGGAAATTTTTAAAAATTCTGTCTGACTTTGAAAAGTGGGGTTTTATTTTCACGATCGGGAACATTGATGAGAGCTTTCCAAGACAACAACTTTTCAACAAGTATTGCACTGCCTAGAGCACAAGCCAAATGTAAAGGTGTTCTGTCAGGATAACAATAAAGTAATTGTTGTTAATCTTTAATGCAAACCATAATTAATAAATAATTATAATGGTTTATAACTAAATCAAGACTTAGGCAATTAACTCAATTTAATTAATTAAAGTTATTGATGTAAGAAAAATAAGTTTCAATGATAGTGAAATATACTATAAAGTGTAATTTGCATTTTAATAAAAATTGTGAAAAATTTCAAAAAAAAATTTCAAATTTTAAAGTCAGATTGTAAAATAATCATAAATAATGACAATCATTATTTTTAAATAAGATCAAAACTAGATGAAATTTTTTTATATTATAACATAATAAAATAACAGTTCTCCAAATAAAAATAAAGTAAAATAAACTCCCAACCAACCAACCTATCTTTTTTGTCCCTTGCATTGACGAATTTGGGAGCCAGTTGATCAACTTTGGCTTCATCATTACTTAAAACTGCCTTGTGAATTTTATCAAGATCCTTCAGCTTCACGTCGTACTGCAGTGGCGATCCGAACAACGAAGTGACACTTCCATGTTTACCACCACCTCCTCCCAGGCTGCCACGAAAACTCGACGTATCCGAACCACTTTTCTTTCCGGAAAATATTTTTTTTAATTTTTTCATGTCGAGCGCAGACGATGTTTATGTTGTTATAAAAAAAAATCGAAAGTTTATAAACAACGACATCAGCTTTGTAGTGCGAATTATGATGGCCTGTTGCTAGGGACTCACACCTGCAGTCAACATAGATTTGTTTAAAAATGACTATAAATAAGATAAGGTAACTCAAGAGTTTTGCAGTTTGATCCTTGGATCTAAATTATTATTAATAAGTAAATTATTATATTATATTATTATATTCTTTTTTATACATATTATTCTATTTGTTCATATACTTATAATTCGATCACTTTTGACAAACTAGTAGATTGAAAAGAAACTATTTTACTTACCCAAACCGCCTCTGCTCTACTTTGTTGATTCCTTATTTGTTTAGAGTGAATATAACTAGTTTTACAAACATCAACATCGTTGAATGTAACACTTTTACGTGCTTTCATTATCTATGATTCCTCTGTTTCTAATCGTAAATTATAATGGTTGTTATTGTAATGTAAGATTTCAACATTGTGATCCAAGATTTGTCTAGTAATTTTAGTTTAGTGTTTCTCTTTCGTGTGATTCTTTATAGCGCCAGTTTGTACTTGCATCGTGAGTCTTCACGATGACTTGGTCGTCTTCATACCAATATATTCAAAATTATGGTGCCCACACTCATCAATATTACATTTGAACAAATATATTAGATGGCTCTGATCCATTATCAATTCTGGATGACGTTCTTTGGCTGTAGTAGTATATTTGTAGTTTAATACTATCGTTTTCGTTGGTTGCTTGGACGTTTTTTTTAATGATTCTTTCCATAATTTTTTCATTCTGTTAAAAGCTGTTGACATGTAATTTTTATAATATATTACTATGTTACTTTTGTTACAATTGTTGGTTGCATTGTTGTTGTTGCTGATTTTTTGTTCTTTGTGTTCTATTATTTTCTGGATATGGAATTTTTATATCCATTATTTATGAGTAGTTTAGTTTACTTAACTGCTCATTAATAATGGATATAAAAAGACAAATGCGTTGATGTCTAATTTTTATTTGTGTTTAATGGGATGATGATGCTATAAGTCGGTAGTCGGACCGATGATGTTGTGCAAGTTTTCGACAAACAGTTCTTGACACACACACACACACACCCCACACACACACACCACACACACACTTCAAACACAGACAAACACATATACACACATACACACGCACGCGCACGCACGCATACAAAATATTTATAGGTAATATAATGACAAAGGTTTGTCCAAAACGAGAAGGTACTTCCTGCAAATTTTTCAAAATGCTTAAGAATTTTCTTATTTACAGAGATCCAGTGAAGCAAGAAATTAAATATTTGGCTATATTAGACAACGTGTATAATGTTTTTTAAAATTTTTCTTACAATATTGCTACAGTTTTCAATGGGAAAAAATCGAATTTATTTGATTGATTGATTTATTGATTAGTTAATCAATTAATTTTATTTAATTATTAGAATTAATTGAGCACAAATGAATGCTGGGCAATAATTATAGTTGATCGTACAATGTTTACCTTTAATGTTTGAATGTGAAAGCCTTTTGGAGAACTCACTGAAAATATTTATTTAAATAAAGGCAGAGTTTTTCAAGTGTATGAAATCAATAAAATATGTATTTTAATTTTTTTTTCTTGTTTTTATTAATATATTTGTTCTATTTTGCATACATACGATTTGAACTTATTAAATCCTCAAAGTTCGAAAGTTAATACATCCTTTCATTATTCTATATAAAAATGATTTACAATTAAACTACTCTGAAATGATTTAGTTTGATTTATTATTAAAAACACCATCAGAATATTCTTGCGTTTGTGCGTTAAAGTGTTATCACATGGAAACAATTGAAAAGCAATGCAATGGTAATATGTATAGAAAATATTACAACTGCAGTTGGTACATTAAATTTCGTGTAGCTATAACTACGATCGAATTATATATATATATATAGAATATTACTCTCTATATATATGGAGCAAATATTTAAGATATATGGCAAGTTTCTAATAAAAGCAATCTTACTATTAATATTTCTACTTGATAAATTCACAGTCCATTTTCTCACCTATCTCAGTAGATTCCACTTTCGTGCATTATTTTAAAAGCAACTCCTACCCGCACTGTATCAAAATTTTACCATACTTCCTACTATTACCAAAAAATTAATTGCTTCAAACATATGGTGAAATATATCATTTATATGTTTTATGTTTTATCTTGTTAAATAAAAAAGGTAAGGAACATTGAGATATAACTTTACGATTTGTTTTCACTTCTAAAAATAAGGAATGTTTTTTCGACACTAAATATTCGACCCATTGACTGCCCGTAACAGCAGCATGTTATTAGCATACACAACGCCAACAAATACGAATTCAGAAAATTACAAAGTTAAAATATTTCTCCAAAAATTTATTAACGCACATTTTAATTGAATAAAACTTCAACGTCGTCAATTTTAAATTTTTTAAATTAAATAATTTCTTCTTACCTAAATAGTGCGAATATAACACGCAGACATAACAAGCAGCCTTTCATTTTTGGCCTTAACAAACTAACTAAATTATTCAACACCGTTGTGCCAAGCAAATTTTGAATAGGTTTGATAAGAATGTTCTAGAATATCTATTGAACTTTGTAACCAATTAACAATCAATCATCTTGCTATTGTTATCTTTTATCATTATTGTTATTATTTTGGGAAATTTATTAAACAGTTTTTGTTATTATTGAATTAATAATGAAGTGTTGTTATTATTTTTGATAGTACGTAGTCTATCATACCCCTCATATAATATCTACTCTACATACCTCACTTACAGGCCACGATGGCCGGCTACCAAACAGGAAACGTTGTCGATTATATAGGTACTTTCATTCAAAATAGTTCATTGTCGTCTATATATTTGTCATATTAGATGGGTTTCATAAAATAAATCAAAAATAAATAAAAAATGTTAAATAAAATGGAAATATTCCTTAACACCAGCAACAATTATTATTAGATCAAGGAAATAATAAATAACGCCAAGGTTTAACTTGTTAGTGTGTACCGCATAACTTTTGTCATCTGCTTCGGCCTGGTTAACTTTCATTGAAATTGATTTATCAAAGTTTAAATCAAAAAATTTTTGTTTCTGTAAATTATTCTTTTAAAGTTTTGATCGAAAAGTTAGGTCAGAATTAGGTCGAAATGGTAGTTAGGCCGATTGCAATTTGTTCGCTTATTTGTTTCTGGATTGGATCATTCCTGGCAAATTCGACTAATGGTAGCACAACAGAAACAACCCCAACAACACTGCCAACAACACTGCTAACAACATTAGTACTAGAAAATACAACAACACTGCTAACAACATTAGTACTAGAAAATACAACAACTGTACCAACTACTACTTATACTACCACTATTACTTGTACAACTATTACTACTACTGCTACTACTACTACAGCAGAAACAACACCAGCAACAACAACACTGTCAACAACACTGCCAACAACACTGCCAACAACATCAGTATCAGCAAATACAACAACTACAACAGCATCAACAACAACTGTACCAACTACTACTAATACTACCACTACTATTACTACTGTTACCACTACTACTACAGCAGCAACAACACCAGCAAAAACAACTACAACAGCAACACAAGATTTGACGCAAACAGAGATACCAGGTATTTTATTCAGTTAAAAAACTAATCGTTGCAAGTTAGTATTTTTTTCAAAATTCAAATTAAAGCTCACAGAGTAGTTTGTTAACTTTAAAAAATAAATTAACAAATTAACAATTATTTTTTCAAATGATACTAAATAGTTTAATGTACATTTGAGGTTAAAAACAAGAAAATGTTTTATTGTTAGTGAATCAACAATAAAATTGAAAATGTAATAAAGGGTGCAGATAGGAAAAAAAAATTAAAACATGGACAGACATTAAATTGGTATTCGAATAATTTATTTATTTGGAGTTGCTTCATTCACAGGTGCTGTGGGTACATCATCGGTCGCCATCACTTTTATTATCATCTGCTCTCTTGTCATCCTTGCCATCCTATCCGTCAACGTTTACTTTGCGTGCTTTAACAAGAGGTTAAGTAATTTTCTCATAGTTTTTAATATCGAGGTATTGTTCTTGTTATTGCCGATATTTTATTGGTGATACTTTTCAGTGCTGGCTGTGGGACCGGCAATACTTTGGGTGTATCGAATATTTCGAGTATCGAAATTGATATGCCGAAACTTTAGGCATAAAAATCGAAAAATTGATACCAATACTTATGAAGGTCAACCGGAGATACTGTTATTAACGGTTTATTCAGTTACCAAAGTTAAGCCTTTTTAAATTGATAAATTTGTAATTTAATTAGGTTTTTTGTCGTTAAGGACTATCAATAATGGATGTTAAAATTTAACTGCGTTTTTTGACACTACCACTTCCCTTGTCACGAGATGTCACAGATGTTTAACCCCCCACCCCATTTAGCCCTCTAAAAGCCACTATTAACTTGCTAACATTTTGCATGCAATTTATCAATGCCAAAGTAAAATGAATGGCGAATGAAAATTAACCAAATCTAACGGCATTGAATCTAAACAAACATGTACCGCATACAAACCGAAAAATAGGCAAATAATAATAATCACCAAAGAGGTCCATTTATTTGATGTTCACTTAACACACATAAAATTTATCAACTTTTTTGATCGAACAATTTTACCAAAGTTTTTATTAATCTATGATACAAATTTTAAAAAAATTAAAACGGCATGTCACACAAGACTTAACCCCCACCACAAATGTCACAAATTTATTTTACCCCCTCCATCACCCCCCCCCCCCTAACAAAGCGGGACATCCTTTACTTCACATACAACCCCTTAGCCTGGTAACATCTTCAGTTTTGTTTAGCTTCGTGCTGCGCGCTATCTATCGTATGCTGCTGAAAATTTATTACCGTTGTTAAAAAGAACAATTTGTTTTCTATTTAAAAAGGATGATCTGGCTATTGAGTTTCGAATTCTCTCCGTCTGCTAAATAATTTTTAGTTGCTTGGATCGGATCGCTATGAACACCCATTTAACCTAAAAATTCATCCCAACTTCTAGATTAATTCATCCCACATAGAAATATATTACATTTTTTAGTTCCTTCGGCGTTTTAACCTTTACGTTTCCTAAAAATAAATCAAAAATTTCCGCATTTATTTCTTGTTATAAAATGTTCTTTAATATTATTGAAACAAAATCGGTTATTGCGTTTTACCCTCTCTTCAGCAGCTAATCTTATCATGCTTACACTTACAACAACCTCAATTCTTTTAATCAAATTTGATGATTCATAATGTTGAACAATTTTTCTCTACGAAAGTATTGGTATTGTGGTGTTGTGGAATTACCGGCAAATCTTTATTGGCATCGGCAACACATTTTCAAACTGGTATCAGTATCGGCGATACGATTGTTCAGTGTATTAAGAACCATGAATTTTTTTATAATGAGGCTGTGTTCATTGAATCAAACAAAGATACAATATATATGTGCTACTTGTGAACATCGCTACACCGTCTAAACATCGTTTGGATTACCGGCGAAATAAGTTTTTAATTTAATTTTATTTGAACTTTAGCATACATATTTCTTACCACATTTCAAGGTAGCAGCAAACTGTGCAGAGCGTTATACAACGTTGAGCATATGCTAAACTTTTCAATACTAGTAAGTACTTTTTCGAGTGCTTACTTATAAGATATATGCCGTACCTACAATGTGTTTGTTACATATCATTAAAAAAATCATAAAATATCATAGAAAAAACTCGTCATAATTTTGCAACAAGCAACTAGACAGCAGCCAAATGAGTGTCAACCTGTAAAACAATATTAAAATCGAGGCTTTTAATTTGGTGCAATTATAATACTATACGATGATTTATTATGTGTCTACCTTAGTTTATGCGGTATATGTGCATATATATCTCATGCGAAATCATATCACACATGTACAACACATTTTTTGGCTTTCCCGTTGAAATAAATAAATAAAAAACAAATATCAAAATTTGTAATGAGCGTTGTACATGGAAGATTTTATTTTCTTTACTGAATGATCATTTGGCAGCCCCTTAAATTTGGCCACTCCCGTACGGTGCACTATCTTGCCCCCGCTAGAATCGATCCTTGCAATAATAATAATAAAAATAATAATAATAATAAAAGCGAATAAGGGAAAAGTATTTTTTACACGAAGATAGTATCAATGATGCCGTTGGCAGCGAGGGTAGTTTATGATGAATTGGAAATTTTTTCCAGTAAAAATTGCGTGCGGCGTAATTTTTCCGTTATTAATCTGCTACTGATAAGAATTACATAGAATAAATTTGTTTGGTTTTCTTCAAAAACTCGCTAATAGTTAACGGAGTTTATGCTCGCGTTGATGTTTGAAGCTGTTTGGTGAACATTATGAAGCCATAAACATTTCACCCAATCTCGTACCAACTAATTATCCTACATATTCTTTTTCAATTTTATATTGCGCGGTGGTAACCAATTTTTTATACTAATTAATAAGGTATTAAAATGTTTTTTTAAAAATTTATATGATTTTTAGATAATAAAAATGTTGAAGGTATCAATACATATCATCGATACATTCATTGCAGTCCCAGCACTGAGGTCTTCCCTTCGATGCGATACGGCGCAGATAGCAACATGGAATACCAGTACTGAAGACGGCAGGCACCAGTTAGTTAGCAGGAAGACATCTGGAGTCGATTGCAAGAAATAAATGATTCGTCATTTCCGATTGTCTGATTGTAAAGAACAATTAATGAAGCGCTCAACTCGGCGTGCATGTTCTGTGTTAAGTTACGTACGCCGTCGTGTCATTTTACGTTATTTTATGCTACGTTGTGTTACTTAGTTCTTATGATCTCTTGTGCATAGGAAGTAAACTTTATTACAAACACGTCCCAAACAAAGTTCACAGACAATAAACAAACAACAGTCTGATCAAATTTGCACAACTCATAATTTACTGTCTGCCTGTTAGAATGTTTTTGGTGCTCTGATGATTAATTTATGCTTCTTATCGCTAGGAAGTTATGATGCAAAATGACTCATACACACATACACGCGCACACACACACACACACACACACACACACACACAACACACACATCCAGGGTATTTATAAATGTTTCATCCAGTTGGAGCTGGTGTTGTCAGCTCAAAAATATCATCTTGCTTGGTTTACTTAGTTTACTTTTTATTCAATTGAATTACGTGTGTATGTGTGTGCGTGTGCATGTGTGTGTGTGCATGTGTGTGTGTGTGTGCATGTGTGTATTTGTGTAGTTGCTTGATTATTTTTTGATGAATGCGTAGATTGTTACATTAACCATTAGCAAATTACGTACATACTACGTTTTTAAAGTTGAAAGTTTCACAACACGATTGTAAAATTTTATAATAAATAAATAAATTAGAAAAGTAACGAAATTATAAGGTTCATCAACTGATTTCAACTAATGAATTAAGATTACTTTTTAAATTTAAAAAAGTTTTTGAATCAGAAACGTTTAAAAAAAAATTCCTGTCTAGAATGAATAATGACGGTGGGAAAGGCAGCACAAGGTGAAAAATGACTTGGCATTTATATTTGAAAATCAGCAGATTGTTTATTAAATAAATTTGATGATGGTGTTGTTATAATGGGAAAGCAATTAAGAGAGGCCATTAAAATGTGTCGGAAATAATTTAAAAGATTCCCATCCAACCCTACAAATGCAACAATTCACGCCGTACATACATCTATAAAAACACACACACACACATTAAAAAACAAACATAAATACGCCTACATTTATACACACACAAACACACATTTACGAGCACATAAACATGCATTTAAAAACAAACAAACACACAAACACACGCACATACATACACATAAAGATCAATTATATGTTAATAAACACACACAAACACACATAAAGATAAATATAACATTCAAAGAAACAACCAATTATATAGGTAATATAGAAAATTTTGTAATTTCATTTTGTTCACAGGCGATGATAATAAAACAAAACTCATCAGAAATTTTCTCAGACACGCCTCTTTCATGACTGGGTAGTAGATGGCATGCCCTGGCAATGCAGCCCTTTGTATGTATGTGTGTTTGTGGGTGTATGTCTATGTATGCATGTTATGTGCGAGCCCATGGTTAAAAACAATAGCCATAAAAACTATCATTTTGCCTCTGCTCAACAGATAATATTAGTGTACAGGGTCTCGCACAGAAGGGCACTCAGCAATGTTCTCTAAAATACAAAAGAATTAAACTTTTACAACAACAACGATATATTTTGTATGTATGTATGTATGTGTGTGTGTGTATGTATGTATGTGTGCGTGCGTGTGTATGTATGTATGTATGTGTGTGTGTGTGTATGTATGCATGCATGCATTCATGTATGTATGTATGTGTGTGTGTTTGTATGCATATGAGAAGAAAAAGACTTTTTTTACAAATGCATCGGAAGCATATTTAACTAGCTACATGTTGGATGTGAAGTCTGAATCCTCGCCATTGATTTAGATATTTCAAAAATAAAATTTTTAGTAATATTCACACACTTTCCATAATAGATAAAATTATATTTACTTGCTCGTGTAGTTTTTTAAATCATCAGCATCATGTTTCTGAAAGAGCGTCATCTTCAAATACACAAATTTTATTTTGGTTCACCAAAAACCATCACAATGTTTTCATGTTCAAAGACTCTGCGAATGATTTACTGCTATTTTATATCATAATGAATGACATTCTTACGTTTGAAAGAAATTTCAATTAGTACTGTGCGTCTTTCATGTGCTGATGGCATTTAAAATTCACTTTCACTAAACAACAGTATACTTTAATTAAAATTATAAAATGGTTATCATCAACTGGCACTTTGTATTAACAGTTGAGAATAATTGAAAAATGTAACATAAATGTAAGACTGTTTGTGTGTTTGTTCCGCGCGCGCACGTGCCTGTGTGTGTTTGTGTGTTTTATGTGTTTTATTCTTTGAAATGTCTGAGTTCTTTGCAAATCATCAACATAACCAGAGATATTGATGAGTGCTGACAAGTTGGAGAGTAACGCTTGTGCTTCAAAGACATTACAGAATTAAACCTCGCATGTTATTTACGTTGTACGATATTTCATTGCACGACAAATTATTTCAAATGATTTCAAAACAAAAAATTGCAAATTGGCAGAACTTTACAACAATGATTTTGAGCAAAGGTTAAATATAAAAAAAAAACCTCCTGTTGATGCTATTCTAAATCAGAAACTTTTTAAAATGCGTTCCATTATGTACTTATATTTATATACATACATGTGTGTGTGTGTGTGTGAGTGAGAAATGCAATATACATATGTGTATATATACATATGTGTATATATGCATATATATATGTAAGTATATTGAGAGAGAAATAATATATGAAAAAAGGTTAAAAGTGCTTTTTTAATGGTAAGAATGTTAAGGAATGAAAAAATGGAGTTGATGCTAACAAGGACGACGACGATGAGAAGCGGGTGAACCAACTACAACTGCATCTGCTTTCTATCTCCTCCAAGAACAGCAAAAACTACATACTTCAGATAAGACATTCGTTCAGTCTGCATAGCACAATATATTGTTAAGTCGTTACAATATAATTAATTTGATAGCTGGCATAATCCTTTTTTCTTTTAAATACAATTTCATTGCCAATAATGCAAAGTTAATAAATGCAGTGAATATATACAACTTAAGGCGGCGCATCAATCAATCAATAAATAACTCAATCAGTTTCAATCAATCAATCAATCAATCAATTTGTAAACGGTGTATACAAGGAACTTTTATTTGAGGGACTTTCAAATGAAATTTAGTGGTTTATAGTTCTTTATATTGTAGTTATTTTTTAATACGGAACAAACAAAATTGTAAGTCTAGCGAAACCCCTTCTGTAGGGACCAAATTTCTTAAACTCTCAATCACGGCATTACGAACAAAACTTAAAAACTGAAGGTTGCCGTCTGAAGCTATTCCTAAAATTGTAACATGTGTTTACGTACAATATATAAATATATACGGCACCACTTTTCAAAAGATTTCAGAAGCGCTAGTAATCATTCAGACGTTTATTGAAAACAATTCGACTTGCGCTGCTAATAAAGCAAAAAACCTCTTTTTTTAAAAAGCAAAAAATTTAAATTGTTCAAGCAGGAGGCCACCATTATTAAAGAATATCAGTTGATTCCGGTTTTTTCAAATAATTTGGGACGTCACCGTTTTAACAAATTTGAAAACAACTCTTTTTTGGCATGCGCAGCAAGTGTAGTTAATCTCTGATGTAAGTTGAGATAAAATCGAATTTCTAATAACCTGCGACTAGCCTAACCTAACTGATGCGTTTAATATAGGCTAAATATTGTTATGAAATTATAACTTTTTCCTATTTTTATCGCATTGTGGTATTGATAATTGACTTTTTGCAGAAAAAACTGCATATAAGTTTTCTGTTGTCTCAGTGAGATACCAACTAATTGTTTTTATTTTGGTTAGTTGCGAGGCTTACCTGAAAACGATCAAAATTTGGTTTACTCTAAGATTTGTTGCTGGATTTCTGAAGCCATCTGTGTGAACAAGATCATGCGATTTTCCCAGCCACACGTGCTGCCGATGCTGAGCTACCCTACAGTCACTTTCAGGTTTGAGCCTATGCACATATGTTGTTACTAGAAATAGCTCATGGTCTAATTATTTACGAGTAAGCGAATGGACATTCATCAGCAGTAATCGATAGAAGTGATCTAGTTTTATCAGCCGCCTGCCAAAAAAGAATGACTATTTTCAAGAAAGCAATAGTTGTGGCATCAGGGCAACTTCTGCAAAACTTGGATGAAAAAAGTCTTTTGCCGTGCTTTCAATCGGGGTTTGGAAAGTATTGCTCATAAAAAACTGCGCTACTAAAATTGTTGTCAACCTTATTTTATGCGTCAGAATCACAGCAGGTGTCATTGTTGGCTTTACTTGATATGAGCGCGGCACTCGATTGCGTCGGTTACGATATACTCATTGAAAGAATGTCAGCAGGCTATGGAATCAGAGACACTGCGTTGGGATTTTTCAGATCGTATTTGAGCAACAGATCACGTGTGTGTGTCTGTGTGAGCACACATCTCCGTTTACGTGTGTACAAAATGTTTTTTAAAAATGAATATAAAATGATACCTTAGTATAAGGTTGCATCAGGAAGTTATATGAATGATAGATGCACAGACACGAGACTGTATGTGAATGCACAAGCGCAATATAGTATAAATAGCGATGCGGTTACGAACAATTTAATTTGCAGTGAAATTTTCATCGTTTTAATTTTCCAGTAGAAGTTTTTATATTCTGGTTGGTAGTAGAAGATTTGGAACGAAGAATCAGTCATAGTAAGTTCCATTATCATTATACTGTAATTTAAGTCTATATAAAATTTAAATTTAAGTTTTCACGTGATTTCAATCTTGCAACTACATTGCAGTAATAATACTTCAAGTAAACAATTCAGTTTGCATTCAGTCTGCTTAATTGTTCAACACCCTAAGAATTTTTCCTACTGTATCAAGTAGATAACACCATTAAATTGTTTATGTTAGCTCAAGCCCAAGTCATTGTAAGGCAAGTGATATCTATGGCATTCAACACACATACATAATGAAATCAATACACCGATGTATATCTGCATAGGTAGGTAGGCTGGTAGGTAGGTATTGTAGGTACGTGAGTGAAATAGATTATGATACTTGCTTACGCTCCGCCATATAATTTTATCGAAAAACTGGCAAAATTTTAATGAAAATGATAGTGGGAGGTAGATAGGCAGCAAAATTTCTTGTTGATCAATTTTTATAACTGGTTATAAATGTTTATTGATGTCTAATACATAGCTTCGTATAATATACTTACATATATAACTTATGCAACAAATGCCTAATACAATAACCACTGTTGGCCTATTTACACAGTTTTGGTTAGTCGATGTTTAAACATGCTGTCTAACACGAATTTTTTTATTCTTTTTGTCAAAATTTTTTTGAACCATATTTTGAAATGGTGTAAAACATTTTTAAGAAATAATTCAAAAAATCGCTATCAGAGCATCGCAAAAGAAAAGTTGTATTTATAAGAATCAAACAAGCAAAGCATGCGTTCTCTCATCAGAGCACAACAAACACAACACATACATGTGAGCTGTCTGTCCATCATCTTTGCACCCTGGCCCATCAACAACAAACAACAGAACATGTCAGTGTTTCAGATTGTTAACATGCGTTCACATCATGGTAGTATGCTTGTGGTCGGATTATGTGGTTGGTTGATTGTGCGGTCGATTGTTGAGTGGATGATGTGTGTGGTGTGTGGCTGGTTTTTTGTGTGGCTAATGTGTATGCGATTGTTGTGTATGGTGTGTGTGGTTGTTTGGTCGATTTGTCAGTGGTGTGTGGTTAGTGTGTACGAAGTGTGTATCTGGTTGGTGTGTGTGATGTGCTTGCTATGGGCCAACCAACGTGTACTCTGTCAATATGCAATGAAAATTCTACAAATTTAATATAAAAAATATTTTTTAGAGTAGCAAAATAAACTCAAATCACTTTGATTTTGACGAGTCCACAACTTTTCATAACCAATGACTAAATTTCAGATGATTCTTCTGAAAAACTCATGAACAAATTTGAGCAAGTCCCCTACGTACTGCAACAATTGCCTTTAAAGTTTTGTGTGTGTTTGTATCTGTGTCTGCGTTTATGTGCATTTCCTTACCCTCTACGCTTTTTAACACATTTACATATAAAATTATTGCAAACGTGTTCACTTTTTTAAGAGCGCAATGTTTAACTGTTTTGTTGAACAGTCTGTAAAATTTAAAACTCCAAATGTGAACGTCTGGTGATGTGTTCTTGTGCATGCATGCAAAAATTACCATGTTACACCAACATATTATTTATATGCACACACACACACACACACACACACACACACACACACACACACACACACACACACGCATATGTTACATATATTACGTACATTTTTGCATTCATATACAGGCGCATACATACATGTTTACAGACCTCGCACATTTATAATACATGCGTATGCATACATATAAACAGATATAATCATAATGTAACAAGCAAGCAGATATGTTTTCATTAGAGTAAGAGTTGAAAGCACATCAGAAAGATAAATGCTATCACGCTCTTTCATTTGTTAGGGAAGGCAGATAATAACTTTTTCAAAATAAATCAGTTGCTATCTTTTACATATAAAAAAGTTTTTGCAATAAATTTTGTTACAATTTTTTGTTATTTGTTCTAATAAAAAATAATTTTGAAAAGACTTTTTAAACGTTATGAGAATTGAAAATATTACGCACAAACAGCCTGGAATCTTGTCCTAACATCTTTTTACCGGATTCAATTCTATAAAGTATGAACTTTTTTCAGGTTGATTATTTATTGTAAATATTAACAATTGCGTTTCTAAACAAATAAAAGCATTTTGTTTGAGGATTCATTTCAAATGTTTATTACTTCTGCGTCCAAAAACCAGCTCCGTTATAATAAATAATAATTTCACAACACAAAACACTTTCCTGTCTGTTGATAGTTCTCAATGCCAAGAAGAACAAACTTTCAAAATGTTCACGTCTTCACCCTAGCCATATACGTTGTTGTCTATATTACGCTGATAAAAAACCCTTAACAATCTTTTTGCAAGCGCTAAACTTTAAAGAAGCTAGCGACATATGTTTCTTCTATATCAAGTATTCAAGTTAAAGCAATTTTATAAACATGTAATAAATAGCGCATTTTATAGTAATATGTAATTAGATGAAATAGAGAAACATGATACGTTTAAAGTCCATCCCATCTCTTGCCTGCTGCTTATTTATTGTTGCAGATAAACATCAAGGCGGTAATTTTTCCTAAACAAACTTGACTTTTAACCTTTAAGTATAAGCAATAATTTTAAACAAAATGCTAAATTAGATTTACAACTCTTGCTGACTTATTGTTATTCCAAGAAAACTGAAACAAATTATATTATATTATTATATAATTACGTTAACATTATCATGGTAAAATTTTTCAACTTATTTTTATAATTTGAATATGTTTCTCAAAACATAATGCTTGCCAATATAATACTTCAAAATCATGTTTTGCTTATTGTTGAAACCGAATTCTTTTCAATTTTTTAGTGAAAAACTTGTGATAAATTTTATATCCAGATAACAAAGAATCACAAAATGAATATAAATCAAGCCATCGCTTTATTTGCCTTAACCGTCGTCATGGCAATCGTAACAAACGCCGAAGAATCAGCAGCTTCTGATGCGGACATTGGCATGAACGGAAAGTGGCCGGGTATTCATAGGGTAGGAGTATGCAATAGGCAAGAAAATTTCGCGATTTGTTACGATTGTGGTAGAAATGCCAATTCTGTTAGTGTCTACACTAAATGCTGCGAAACAGATCCACAAACTGTGGACCTTTGCAACGGAGATTTCTACAAGTTGGCTGCAGAAAAACCAGCAGTACCCGAGGTAAGTGAGGCAGCCGGTGACGCTGCTGCGGAGGAAAGCGTCAACAACGAGGATAAAGCTTAATTTGCAACTTCAATTTGTTTCTTTTTCATTTTGAATTTTGCTTACACATAAAGACTTGAAAAACGTTAACGCAAAATTTATGTGACAATATTTATTTAATTAAGAGCTAAAAAAATGGATTACAATGAAACATGTACATCTTACTCACCCACACTGTACATCATACCCACCCACACACACACACACACACACATACACATACACACACACACACACACACACACACAGATATATATATATATATATATATCAATATTTATATACATATATATATATAAGTTGGATTGGAAGGAGACCATATTTTATACAGTATTATATGAATTCTACCGAATTTTTGGCATTAATCAATTTAAAGTTTGTCCTTTTAATTTTCCTAACTAAAATTTTCTGGAAAATGTTCAATTTGTTGAAAATAGAATTATCCAAGTTTATCATGAAAATTTAATGAAACTGTTGCTATCTGAATTCTATTAAGTAAGAAAAATTGAAAAGAAAAACTTTAAGTTGGTTAATGCCAACAATTCGGTATAATTCATACAATACAATATATATATATATATATATATATATATATATATATATATATATACATATATATATAATTTATTTGTTCATTTATTATGTGTCATTCATCATTTCTTTATTTTTTCCGTAGTAAAATTTCTTATATAGGCGTTTATTTACATATTTTTCGTTATACTGATACATATGAACATTTAAGAGTAATCTTTACGCTGATCGCTTGATATTTAACAATTATCTTAAATTGTGCAATAGAGCAACACAAACATGAAGTAATTTTTGTTAAACTAATTTTATTGAACGATTTACTTGTTTAACGTCCATACAAACTCCAGTCTGTAATTGTTGTAATAACTATCGGCTTTTATACTTCAATGTGATTAAATTTTTCAAGTGTAAACTAAATTTTATATAATTTTCCAAATAAATTTAAAAAAAACAGAAACAAATTTTCTTGTTTAAAATATTCAACGGCGAAATAATTTGTAAACGAACAAACGATCAAATCACAGTTCAAAAATCGATAGCAAACAGATTAGGATTCGGTCAACAAAGAATAAAATTGGGAATTGCCCTAAGGGCGTTTGCGCATTTTTTGAAGTCTTCTCGACTATTGATCTTAAAATTTTATTATATAAATACAAGATCGGAAGGACGACATTTGGCATATTTCAAATTCTTTTTTTAACTTGAGGTCTTAAGGTTGAAGCAATTCATGAAATTTTTTTAGCAAACCGATATTATGATTTTTATTTTTGAGTTAGGTGCACAAATCTTTCAGGACAATAATGCCAGTAGCCTGTCAACGCCGTTAATAATAACTCAGATAAAATAGTTTGCAATAAAGCCAGAAATTATCCAAACAACAATAATAATAATAATAATTATAGTAACAATGGCGATGACAAAGTTCACATTAAACCCTAATCCCAACGAATCACTTAATATTAAGCTCCTAAGTGAAAATCAATTGAACATCTTGAAAAAATTTATTTGTACTATTTGAGATTTGCAAATTTAATAACTAACTTTAAATATCCAACTCCAATAAAAATATCTACTTCCTACAAATATACAAATAAAGCAACATGCAGAATACATCAATTCATTAAAGAAGCGAACGAATTTGGAAGGCTACCATTTCTACTTACCGTTCAACTAGTTAAGAATGATATTCAAATATTTTAACTACTTGAAAAATAAACAATCGATCTATCGAGTCTTCATTCCAAATACAAGCAAACAAGACGATGGCAAACGTTAATGATGAGCTCATTGGATATTCAGGCCACGTTTAAAATTACTATAACAGGTATGATGAGCGGAAGAAAGCAACCATTTGCAAATCATAATTAATTTCCATCATATATATAAGTCTGTTCGTGTGAATCCTATTTCATTCTTAATAACTGATTCGTAAAAGCTTGTTTCATTTTTTAATTTATTTTTGAACGACAAATTTCAAAATTCATCCAACTGTTTTGTCAAGACGAGGGCTTTTAGCTCCTCAAAATACGTTCATAGAAGATGTCATTAGGATTACCACAAACCAACGTAAGAAACTTTTGAAAAAATTAATACAGCATACAATATTGTACGCCTAAAAATTATATTATTTTTGTTATTTTAAAAAATTATTTGAAAATTCAGAAAGTCATTTTCTTGTGTGCAATGCAAAAATCGTTGGGTACCCAATTGTGTTTTGTGATTCCGGGTTCTGTCGGATGACAGGTTACTGCAGAGTAGACATCCTTCATAAAGAAGCTGTGTGCAAATTCATGCAAGGAGAACAAACTGATGTGAACACGATCGAACGTTTCAAACAAGTTCTCGATGATCAAATGCAGGAAACTTTAGAAATACTTTTCTATAGAGTGGATAGTTAGTGAATATTTTTGAAAGTTAGAGATTAAAATAATTATTCAATGCAAGTATTTTATTTTTATGATCAACATTATGAAAGCCATTGATCAAAAAAAAGATATTCAATTTTAAATTAGAAAAATATTTCAATGTATGTAGTTTTAATGATATGTTCATTGTAGTTATGATGTTAACTTTATAATTTTAACTTTTTTTTGTCAAAAAAGAGTCAATATTATGGACGAAAACTACTGTAACTCCGATACGAAATAACCAAGATGCAATAAACTTGTTCCTTATCACCTTCAAAGACATCACTGCTCAGAAACAGCTTATGGAGGAGGACGCTAGCAAAAGTTACTAACTTAACATTTCACTGTGGACTGCAATTTTGTTCATTCATTTATGAAAATATATTTTTGCAGTTACTTCACTGGGTATGTTAGTTAGACTAGCAAGAACTGTTTCGAGAAGCATGGCGAAGCATCCAGCAATGTACCAGGGTGGTATAACAAACGTTGGCCCTCTCTTTCAATCTTCATTCGATTTGCAAAAAATTCACAGCATGCATACACTAAAGGTTTATAAAGCATTAAAATAATCCTCAAAATTGTTAAGTTGTTTAATTAACATTACTACTTTGCAGAGTTCACAAGATGGAATGTTTCCAAACGATCAAAGCATTCCAAGATATTGTCAAGAAGTCCCGAGAACTCCTGCTAATATCCTCCTTCACCATTCAGCTTTCAAATCTTTTTGGGACTGGGCCATTTTAATTTTGACTTTTTATACTGCCGTTATGGTTCCTTATAATGCGGCTTTCCAAGGAAAGACCATGGATAACATACTTGTATTGGTTATCGACAGTGTGGTGGATGTTGTATTTTTTATTGACATAATGTTAAATTTCCATATGACTTTTGTTGGTCCAGGAGGTGAAGTTGTCTCGGATCCAACCGTAATTAGAATTAATTACCTCAAGAGTTGGTTTATTGTTGACTTATTATCGTGTCTACCATACGATGCGTTCAATGCATTTCCAGATGCTACGGAAGTAATGAACGAAAATTATTGTGATATGGTGGGTTATAAATATTTGTTTTAATTTGCAGAATGTCAGCAATCTACTGAGCGCACTGAAAGTGGTTAGATTACTGAGGTTAGGCCGTGTTGCACGAAAACTTGATCAATACATTGAATATGGAGCAGCTGTGTTGGTTTTACTCATAGTGATGTTTGCATTAATAGCTCATTGGTTTGCTTGTATCTGGTTCACAATCGGAAATATAGAAGCATCCAGAGGTGTTCAATACAGTTGGTTACAGCGTTTGGGAAGAGAAACTGAAGCTTCATACGTAAAAATAAACGATAGTGACGGTGAAATTATTTGGGTGGGTGGTCCATCTGATGCCATGTCTTACGCATCAGCTCTTTATTTCACCTTGTCCTGCATGACGAGTGTTGGGTTTGGGAACGTGTCTGCCTCCAGCGAATACGAAAAACTTTTCACCGTCTGCATGATGATTCTTGGATGTAAGAATCAGTGTTGTTTAATAATTGAATGTTTGTATTATTTGTTCAAATTTTCAAGCTTTGTTATACGCTACTATATTCGGAAATGTTACAACAATATTCCAACAAATGTATTCATCAACTGGACGTTATCATGAAATGTTGAAGAACGTAAAAGATTTCATGAAATTGCATTGTGTTCCGAGATCTCTAAGTGAGAGAGTTATTGATTACGTTATATCGACTTGGTCAATCAATAAGGGAATAGATTCCAACAAAGTAGTACACAAAATTGTCTTAAATTAATTATAGAAATTAAAGTAAAATTTGCAAACTCAAAGGTACTCAACTACTGTCCGGCTGATTTGAAAGCTGATATATGTGTTCACTTAAACAGGCATGTCTTTAGCGAACATCCAGCTTTTCAACTAGCAAGTGAAGGCTGTTTAAGAGCTTTAGCGGTTCATTTCCAGCTAAGTCATTGGGCTCCAGGAGATATGTTGTTTCATCAAGGAGAAAGCTTAGACTCCTTGTGTTTTATAATTACAGGTTCACTTGAAGTAGTCCAAGATGAACAAATAGTAGCAATCTTAAGTAATGTCATTTTATTTTATTTTATTTTTATAACATTAAAGCATCAAAATTTTAGCTAAGGGCGATGTAGTAGGAGATCAGTTTTGGAAAGAACCTGGAATAAACCAATGTATGGCAAATGTTAGAGCTTTAACCTACTGCGATCTTCATCTCATCAAAAGTGAAAAATTAATGGAAGTGTTGACATTTTATCAACAGTTTGCTATTTCTTTTGAAAGAACATTAAAATTGACCTACAACTTAAGAAAAAGGGTATGTTTTGAAAAAATATATATACGTAAACGTTATTTAGTTACGCTTAATAAATAAAGTTAATTTTTGAATACTACTACAGATTGTTTTTAAAAAAATATCTGATATAATCAAAGAGAAAGAATTAGAGGAGAAAAAATTGGATTTATCTGAAACACATCCAGTCAGAAAAATAATATCCCGTTTTAGAAAAATGAGTTTATCGCGCCCAACATTTTTCGAATCTCACCCTAGTCCAGCGATTAGTTTCAGAGATGATCAATTATTAACATCTACGCTAAACACAGGAAGAAATTTTTTGTCAAAATTGAAAAAAGCAACATACATGAGAAGAACATCCACGTTTGCAGAGTCCCAGTTTTTGCTGGAATCTCCAAGTTTATTGGGATCGCCGACATTGTCTCCTAATACAATTAGCTCTCCTTCAATTGAACAAAAAAATAAAAACATTTGTGAATCCCCTGATTCAAATACAACATTTAGAAGTTTGATTGATGGCAAAAATATGTTTTGCAGTTCAATAGAATTGAACACTTCAGATTCAGGACAAAGTCTGAAACCGTCGCGTAATCTTGAAGTTCCTTTTCAATTCGAGAAAAATCAAAATGGTTTCCTTATAACTTCCACAAACCAGCAATTATTAAAGCCAAATGTTCCAAGCATTTTTTGCGAAGAATACGAACCTAACAACAAAGATTCATCTCTTCTTGGTCAGATAAAAAACATTCTAGATACAAAGGATGATAGAGGTTAATCTTATTTATATATAATTTTGAATAAAAGCTGCAAAAATTAATGCTCTACTGTATTCGTAACTAAGGGAAAGTTACAGAAATGCAAATTTCGGTGCCGCCGTTACCTGAAAAGCTTATGGTTAAAAAGAGGTTCTTGAAAAATAAACAGAAACTTGATTTACCTTTAGAAAAGATGCACCAACACATCGTAGAGCATTCTAAAAAACCAACAGCACAGATGTTGACGAAGTCTGTCCCGATCAAGCAAAACCCATATGACGACAAAGAATTTTTGAAAAAAGTGAATTTCATGAAAGATGAAATTAAACAAGAAGTAAATTCGTTACATCAAAGGATGGATATGATTGATAATTATCTCGATAGTCTTGTTCAAATTGTAAAAGATACATTTATACCAAATTTTTCCTAATTTTTTTACCATTTAAAATAATTTTTTTATTTTGTTTAGATTTAAAATTTAGCATTATAGTAGTTGGTTTTATTTTATCTTAGATAAAAGAATTTACTGCTCGTCGGTTATAGCCAAATATTGTTGATGATTTACATGTACAGTCGGAATCGGTCAAGCGATACTTAACAAAAAGGTCTGATTATGCGGCTGACCCTGTTAACTAGTGTGATGTGTCGTTTTAAATAAAAATCGAACGAATATAATTTTTTATTTAGATGATATTTGATTAAGCAAGCAATTTAAGAAATGTTTGCCAATTTATTTTTCTTAAAAGAACAATAAAAACGATTATTGTAACACAGCACACACTGTTACTCTTGTTTGTAAGATTAACGTTTAATAAAAATTAGAATTTTGATGCACTCAAAAGCTTATAACCTTTACATTTCTTCACTACATCATTTATATCATCTTTAAAAAACACAATTGTATACTGCTTTACTTTTTCCCCGGAAATGTACTGTAAATTTTGTCGACGCAATTCACACATCATACTTATTACTCAAATCTCGGACATTAAAGAAGAAACAAAGGCAGATTGAAAACATCAGAACACCTAGGTTTTTTCTTATGAAGAGACGAATAAATAATAACCGGATGCAAGAACGGCTCTAATGTGGGCATTGGACAACTTTTGGCAAACTTAGACCATAATTTAAACAACTTCAAAACTGAAAAAAAAAGTTTAGACTACGTCTTTTCTACGCATCGTGCATTTCAGTCTTCTTGTGTGTTTGCTAACCATTGAACACTTAATAAAAAACTACAGACTAAAGTACACTTTTTGTTAAAAATTATAAAATAAGGTTTGATATCCAGCAATTGGCAGTAACCATGACGAAAGACGTCTCTGCAGTTCTACACGTTTAGAGAACAGCAACAAATTTAAACGAGATAGGTTGGCGGAAACTCAAATTAATCAGTTAAAGTTTTTAAAAATTAAGACAGCATTTAAAATGGAAAAAAATTAAAAATTATTAGGAATCAGGTGTAATATAAAATGTATATGACAGGTCAATGTACAAAAACTAGAACTTTTTGGACAATTATTTGCAGGATGACGAATGACAGGTGCTTTTTAAAACTGGAGAAAAATAAACTAGAAAGGAATACCTGCTAAAGAAAAGATAGACATTGTGTTATAAAATTACTGGAGTGGGAAGAAAAATTTAACAAAATTGTCCAAAAATAAAAAACTATTTTGGTAAACGTTAAAAAGATTGACGTTCTCGGCTTTAATTAACGATTGATTGATTGAATGATTGATTGATTGATTTGAATGATTTGAATAATTGACTGACTGGCTGGCCGGCTCACTGACTGGCTGGCTGGCTGTGACTGACACTGACTGACTGACTGACTGACTGACTGACTGACTGACTGACTGACTGACTGACTGACTGACTGACTGACTGACTGACTGACTGACTGACTGACTGACTGACTGACTGACTGACTGACTGACTGACTGACTGACTGACTGACTGACTGACTGACTGACTGACTGACTGACTGACTGACTGACTGACTGACTGACTGACTGACTGACTGACTGACTGACTGACTGACTGACTGACTGACTGACTGACTGACTGACTGACTGACTGACTGACTGACTGACTGACTGACTGACTGACTGACTGACTGACTG